AGTGAGTGATGGAGCAGCTGCCCTCGTCATGGTGAGAGGGAAGTTGTGGGGGCTCCTGGGCTCCTGCATTTCATCAGTTGGTTCTGCACCTCCCTCAAATCACCAGAAATACTGATACCCTTGACCCGTCTCGTTACCTGTCCCACTGGGCACGGACAACCTGGTGTTGTTGCATGAATACATTTTCTTCCCCCCTTGGAAGATCTTACAGTGTCAGAATCTTGGCTGAGACATCCTTTGGACCTGGCACACAGAAGGTGCTCAAAGGAGTGGGTTTATATTTTTAAACTTTTTATGAGGTCTCACTTGCTATAGCATAGCACATTAAGCTTAAATGTACAGCATGTGGATTTTTACACCTATAAATACCTGTGTGAGCCATTGTCCTGAGGAGATGGTACAGCGTTCCCAGCACCCCTGGGAGGCTTGCTGGCCCCCTGGTTACAGCCCCTCTCACGTAGCTGCTCCACGCTAGGGGTTGGTTTGCCTGCTTTGGAGCCTCCCTTGAATGGCAGTGCAGGAGGTACTCATTGGTCCCTGGCTTCCTCTCCGCTGCATCGCAGGTATGTCCAGGTTGTGTATAACAGACCTTTATTCTTTTTCAGGGCTGTGAAGCCGTCCAGGGTGTGAGTGTCACTATTCATGTGTCCATTCTGTGGGTGGCTCTTGGGGTTGTGTCCAGCCTCTTCTGTGAAAGGTTGTGTGCTTGTCTCTGGGGCACGTGTGCACTCATTGCTGTGGGTGTGCACCAGGACGGGGTGCTGGTCTTTCCCACTCAGTATGCATTTGCATGAATGAAGTTCAGGTTGGTGTCCTGAGCTGGAGCTGGGTTGGCCCTGCCGACAGGGTCTCAGGATGTGGTGGGGACAGGGATCTTGGCTAGAAATGCCACTCCCACAGGGTAGCAGGAACGTTGAGACTCAGGATTCTGTATGCATTTGTCAGTGCTGGATGGGGTTTCAGTTACCTGAAAAGGTGGAGGGGGCTCATATTTAGGGGGGCTGAGAAGTCCAATTAAAGCAACTAAGCATTGGCCCTTTTGTGTTCAGTTTGGGAGAAAACTGGGGTGATCAAAATTTGGACTTTTTTTTTTTTTAAAGGTTAAATTCTAAGGCAGAATTATGTAATCCCTCCTTGGAAGGTTTTGGAATTCTCTGTTGTTCTCCTTTATTTCAGCACCCCTCCCCCCAAGTGACAGATAGGTACATGGTCGGCAGATTTCTCTTTCCTGCTTGGGAGGCTGTGGGAACGTGGCTAGGAGCAGGAGAGAGAGGTGGCGCCTGGAGTGGTTTGTACTGGTGTGTGCTGACTTGGAGGAGTGAGGGACCCCTGCCTCGGGTAGCTGGGCAGAACTGCCAGCTACTGGCTGCTCTAATCCCCTCTGATGGAGGGCCAGGCATGGGCTTTGAGCCGCTGCGGTGTGGGTCAGCCCCCCACCCCCAAGAAAGCTGGTCCTGCTTCCCAAGCTGAGGGAGCAGGAACTGCCCTGAGGCAGAGGGCTCCTTACCCTTCCTAGGCAACCGAGTGAGCAGTGTGGTCAGCTCGGGTTAATAGCATTCAGGTCAGATTCGACCCAGAGTAATGTGAAGATAGAAGTCCCGCCAAGGGGAGGAATGGAGAAAACACCCTCCCAGGGTGCATTAACATTCCAGAGACGATCGTGCCACCCTGCTGCTGGGTCTGCCTGTGGTGGCTGCTGCCTCAGCAAGGTCAGATCTGAAACTAATGGATGATCTGACCTCAGAAGGCCTGGCCTGGGTCTCAGACTGTCAAGACCAGGAACTCCCAGCTGGACCAGAGGATATGGTAGCAGTGAGGCCAGAGAGCAGTAACAGTACGCCGCATCACACAGCGCATTGCTGCGAGCTGCCTCATGCTTCCCGTGCCCTCTGACATAGTTGGTCACATGCCCATTTTACAGATGAGGAAGTTGACAAGAACAGGCTATGTAACTTGCCCACAGCACATATCTGCTAAGTGACAGAGCTGGGAATCAGGTCACTCCAGGACCCAAGACTTGCACAGCCCTCTAAAATCTGGGGATGGATGTAACAGTGCAGAGAAGGCAGCGTGAGGAGCTGTTAACAGGTGACAGCAGACTGCCTCTGGCCTCATCTGCAGGTCCTTTGCTCTTATGTGGTACAGATTATCAGGAAGTCGGTTCACATTTATTATAAGCTTTGGTCCTACCAGGTTGCCTTCTGTCTGGATGCTCTGAGGGGGCATCTTCTTCTTGGCCTGCCCTGGTTTCCTGAGGCTACTCACATTCCTTGGCTTGTAGCCCCCTCGTGGCAGTAGAGTGGTCTCCACTATATTTCGAACCTTCCATTGTCACCCTGTTTTCCTCCTACCCTTGCCCTCTGGCTTTTACTCCAGGATGGCCTCTATCTCCAGATCCTCAACACATCTGCAAAGCCCCTTTCACCATGTCAGGGGACAAAGTCACAGGTGTGGGGGCTAGGTTATGGACATCTTTGGGAGGTTATTAATTATCCCACCACACAGGGCATAATAAAATCCAGAGGGGCACCCTTAAGGTATCCCACAAACCTGAAGTCACAGCGATGCACAATAAAGTCAGGGTGTAATGGTATGAGGTACTGTTTGGGACATTCAACACTGGGGCAAGTGGCTGCATTTAGTGGTCACACATAGCTCTGTGGCTGGTCTGAGAAGAGGATTCCTTCACAAGACAGGTCTGGGACCAACTTTGCATTGGGCAAAGTGGGAGTTCTTGCCACTCTGCGCTGTTTTCTGGGCTTGGCATGGTTCAGCAGGCCTCACCAGGGCCTGGTTGGATTTGACTCAAGACCCCCACATCGTCCTGCTTTCCTGTCCCAATTCTGTGCTCTTAGGCATCTGTTGGCAGCCAGTTTGGCTCTGTTGATCCTCTGGTAGGAGGTGGAAGGGACATGGTGAATTGGTCACCCTGGCTTGTTTTGTAAGCTGGATGTGCCCGAGCCCCTTTCCCTCATTCCTTTTAGCTGCTAGCCCTGGAACCTGGGCCCTGGTCTGGAGAAGTGAGCCTTATCCCTGTGGGTTGGTGGCTGCGAGGGGCCCTGTGTCCTGCTACTCCCAGAAGCCCCTGCTGGGGACTCCCATCAACCTGTATTCTTTCTTTTTTTGGCCCAGGGAATTGAACTCAGGACTTTGTGCTTGCCAGGCAGGTGCTGTGCCACTGAGCTATATCCCTGGCCCCCATCCTGGAATCTGTGGTAAGACAAGACCCACGCCACACAGCTATCAGAGGGCTTGGGAAGTGGGAGAGCTGCCGCTCAGGTCGCACTGCCCTGCTTCCCCACTGTGGGGCTGGTGCCCAGCATCCTGACTCAGGCGCCTTTCAGGAAGTGGCAGGTTTGTATCCATGCCTTGCTGCATGCTGTGTTCTCTGCCCCCAGTGCAGCTAGCTGTTCAGCACACACTGATTTAGAGGCATTGTGGGGACCAAGGAGGAACTGGTCCCTCACAGAGCAGGTCTCACTAGGAAGACAGGTGTCACATGATCAGATACCATCATAGTAGAGGAGAGCACCATGAAAGGACAGGAGGGAAGGTGTAGAATGCACACATGTACAAGAAGGTGATAGGTGACAGGCTGTGAGGAATGGAGGTCTGTGATGACAACAAGGAAATGTCCTAGACCCAGGGCTGGAGTTTTAGAGTTGGAAAGAAATGCAGAGGGCAAACTCAGTTGTTTCCTTGTTCAGCCAAAACCTGTTGAGTGCTGTGTTCAGGCCCTGAGACAGGCACACCTAAGTCATGACCCCTGACCGCGAGAGGGCTGTGATCAGGCGGGAAAAAGCAGGGTGAGGCCTTAAGCGCTGATCACCCTACAAGGTGGGAAGGTAGGAAGGCTGGAGCACCCTGTGCCTTTCTTCATATTGCTGCCACAGGGCACTTCTGGCCCTCTTTAAGTGTGAGCATCCTTAATCAAGAGGCAAGCAGCACTTCGCTAGAATAGACTGGTTGATGAAAGTGTCTCCACCTTGGCAGTCCCGCCTTCGTGCCCTGATGGAGCACGTAACAGGTGCCTTTGCCCTCTACAGTGTGGTCTCTCCATGCTAGAAGGCAGTGGGCGTGACTCAGCTCCGTGCCCTGTCCTCTCTGGTCCTGCCCTGTCCCAGCTGAATACCCAAGTCCTTCAGCCAGCCGAGCCCCCAGAGTGTGTGGAGGTGCTCTGGGCCAGGCTCTCCACGCTCAGTTGTGTTATTCTCTATTCTGTGTCTGCTGTGTGCCTGGCATCGTGCTGGGCCTGGAGAGGTGGTGAAGGTGCGTGAGACAAAGATGCTGGCAGCCAGCTGACCTCAGTGAGCACAGTAAGGCCCCCAGGGGAGGTCCGTTGTGACATTCTAGGGACACAAACTGAGGGTGAGGGGTCTCAGGACCAGGAAGACCCAGGCGGGGGAAGGGCACCTGGGCACACAGACATGGCTCATATGTGCAGGGTCACCATGAGCTGCTGATGCTCAGACTGGAGGCTGGGAAGGGAGGCCAAGGGTCTCAGCTCCCTGCCAAGGAGCAAGGACTGCACCCCTTGGCCTGATCCTGCCGTGTGCAGGGTGGGTTTCAGGGGACAGGGCACCATCACAGTTGAAAGCAAGTGTAAGAGTCACCCACCCTGGGCCCTTCCAATGGTATTGACCTCCCTGCAGCTTGGAGGGCCACCCTGCTGTGTCCCTTCTCTGCTGTTCAGGAACCAGAACGCTCAGAAATCCCAAAGGTTTTTTCTAAGTCTGCAGCAGACTAATTTTGTGGCAAAAATCTGACCTCAATTGATGTGAGGCTAATTATTGTCTTTAAAAATATCTTACCCAGGGCTTTTCTCTGTGGGATTACTATGCGTTTGATTTTGGGGGCTACCCAGACCCCTCTGGGTGTGTCATACCATATCCAGCTCCACAACCCTTTCTAATGTCTGGGAAGTTCTGCTTTCCTAAACTCACTGGGCCCAAGGCCATGGCCACGGGGACAGCGCACACCTGTGCTCTTCTCCCCGAGCAGTCAGAGGCGTCACCTGCCCCGCCCACGCTCAGGTGATGGTGGTGAGATTCCAGCTCAGCTCCCTGACGCAGAGCCTGGGACAAAGTGTCAGCTGTGTGGCCGGCCTCTTCATAGCCTCTGAGTGACTGTGCTGTCAGGTAGGTCGCTGGGAGGGGCTGGGTTAATGCTGGACTGTGCTTTCTGTCTGATGTCAGCCTGAGGAAGGAGGTGGGGTACTGGTCCAGGGAAGAGGAAGGACCAGAGCTGGGTGTGATGGTGCATGCCGGTAACCCAGCTGCTTGGGAGGCAAAGGCAGGAGATAGTCCAGGACCAGCCTGGGCAACTCAATGACACCTTGTCTCAAAGTCATAAAAAAATAAAAATTTTTAAAAATAAAAACATAAAGGATGGAAGGGGTAGCTCATCAGTGAGGCAAGGGTTCAATCTCCAGAACTGAAAAAGAAAAAAGAACAAGGACCAAGAAGCAGAGAAACCTAAGGGCAGGGGGAGAAGTTTGGAGGCCTTCGGGCTTTGCCCCTTTCTTCTGATCACTCGTCCCTGTAGGTAACAAAGGAAACCTTTTGAGCCTGGCCGGAGTGTGGGTACTGCTGTGGTTCTGTGTGTACATGAATTACCTTGCCATTACGCTAGTTACCTAAGAAAGCCTGTTCCAAAAGTAAAAGTCAGAAGGCAAGCTAGATGTATTTAAAAATAATACATAATTTTTAAAAAATTATTTTGTTGATGGTGCAAAAACCTCTGGCTTCCTGTGCTGCCTGTCTTGGGCAAGTGTGCTTTAATCCTCTGGGAGAGAGTACTTGGGCCTGGTCTATTTCCGTTTGTTCAGATGCTGGCTTTAACGGCTGCCTTCACTGAAAAGAATCCCTGCCCTGGACACTAGCTGTGCATGGAGGAAACACCTCACTGGCTTTCTTTCCAAATGGGGTTACTCATTTTTCCATTGCTTCCACTGAGTATGCAAAGGATTTGTAGAAATTTGGCTAGTAGATTTCCATCCTCCCTGGTGCCAATCAGATGTTCTTATAAACTAAATGGAAGGTGTTTATTTTAAACTTGTTAATTCATGAGTCCAAAACTCACTCCATTGCTTTAGAAGTGTTTTAACAGACTAGAACATTCTGTCACGTAGTTTTTTAGGAATTCAAATATGAGAGGTTTTTCCTTTTTTTTTTTAGTCAGTGTCACAATTATTGTTTTTGGTAGCAAAATCCTGCAGCAGTAGAAACATTGCAGATAGGCCTTTTCCCAAAAGCTCTGCTCTAGTCTGGGTCTCTCAAAGAGCAGCTCCCTTTGTTGGGACATTCCTGGGAAGGGACATCTTCAGCATGCTTTAGAAACACTTCGTAAACAGTACAAGGAAGTGTATCTCTGACAAATAGTTGTCACAGAAAAATTTGGCCAGATGTGGAACTTTTCTTTTCTTCTGTGCTGGGGGTCGAACTCAGGACCTTGGGCATGCTGGGCAGGCAGCTGCTGCCTTGCTAGGCTTAGCTACTCCAGGTGCTTTCTACTAGGTAATCAGTAAATTTCTCATACCAGCCCTTTCCTCAGTCACTCCCATCTCAGTACAGATTTTAAAGATTGCTTTTTGGCCATCTGAAGTTTTGTTTTGTTTTGAGACATGGTCTCAATATGTAGCATGCTGGTCTTAAACTCATGATCCTCTTGCCTCAGCTTCCCTAGTGTTGGGATTACAGGTGTGTGCCACCATGTCAGGTTTGTGGGGTTTTTTTTTTTTTTTTTTTTGGTCTTTTTTAAAGACAAGGTCTCATTGTGCAGTTTGGGCTGGGCTTGAACTCACTATCTGATCCAGGCTGGCCTTGAACTCATGACAGTCCTCCTGCCTCACCTTCCTGAGTGCTAGGATCACAGAGGTGAACCACCAGCCGTGGCAGTGCACCCTTGTAATCCCAGCATTCTAGGATGCTGAGACAGGAAAATAACAAGTTTGATCCTAGCCTGGACAACTGAGTATCTTAGTGAGACCTCATCTCAACAACATCATCATCAAGCAGGAACTGGGGATGGTTATAGTTTGGTTCTAAGGCCCTATGTTCAGTTCCTAGTATTGCAAAAAAAATTGGAGAGAGGAAAATTCAAGATGCCATGTAATTTTTCACTCTTTTAAATGCATTATTGTACATTTCTATATGATAAAGACTTTTCTGAGATAGCGTCTTGCTATGTAGTTCAGCCTGGTCTTGAACTCACTATGTAGCCTAAGCTGGCCTTTTTTTCCCCCAGGCTGGTCTTGAATTCACAGCAGTCCTCCTGCCTCAGCCTCCTACATGCTGGAATTGACTTTTTTTTTTTTTGTCTTTTTGAGACAGGGTCTCACTATACAATTCAGGCTGGCCTTGAGTTCACTTTGTAGCCCAGGCTGGCCTTGAACTCACAGCAGTCCTCCTGCTTCAGCCTCCCGAGTGCTGGGATTACAGGCATGTGCCACCATGGGATTGACCCTTTTTTTTTTTTTTTTTTTTTTTTGTACAGAGTCCTGCTATGCAGCCTAGGCTTGCCAGGAACTTGCAATCTTCCTACCTTAGCCCCCTAAATGCTATAGGCGTTGCCACTATGCCCAGCTGATAAAACTTGTAAAACTGTCTCTTTTGTTAAACTCTCCTGTGCCTTTTGTAGCTGTAGTAACATCATAGCCAGGACACAGACATGAGAGCAGTGCTATAAACTGGACCACAGAGCTTAGTTCTCACTTACCTCCTGTGGGTGCGTGCCTATGTGTGAATGTCATTCTCTGTAGCTTTGTGGTGTGTAGATTCCTGTAAACACAACTATGAAGATACTAGCTGTTCCATCTCCTGGAAGGGCTCCCCTGCAGTCTTGTCATTGCTGTCTGTCCTCTTCCAACCAGTAATTTGGGCTCCATGTTTGTTATTTTGAGAATGTTCTTTTTTTTTTTTTTTTGGTCTTTTTGAGACAGGGTCTTGCTATACAGTACAGGCTGGCCTTGAGCTGAGCTCACTTTGTAGCCCACACTGGTCTCAAACTCGCAATGTTCCTCTTGCCTCAGCCTCCCAAGTGCTGGCATCATAGGTGTGTGCCACCATGCCTGGCTCTTGAGAATGTTCTATATGTGGAATCATACAGTCTGTGGCATTTAAGATTGGCTGGTTTTCTAAACCATGATGCCTTTGGCTGCATCGAGAGGCTGCAGGTGTCAGTAGCTGGTGGTTTGTGTCTGTGGTCTCTATGCATCCATCTGTTTAATCTGCACCTATTGAAAGAGACCCGGGTTATTTCCAGGTGTTGTGATTACAACTACAGATATTGTATACGCCTGTGTACAAAATTCACGGGAATACGGGTTTCCATTTCTCCAGGATAAATATCTAAGAGTGATTACCAGGTCGAATGGTGGTTGTTAGTTTTATAAGAAACTGCCAAATTGTTTTCCATGGTAGCTGTACTGGACTGTTTTGTCTTCCTGCCAGCAGTGGGTGAGGTGTGGATTCTCTGCAATAGCATTTGGTGTACATGTTTTTTAGTTTTGTAGGTGTGTGTGGATATCTCATTGTGGTTTTATTTATTTATTTATTTATTTATTTATATATTTATTGTCTTTTTGAGACAGGGTCTCGCTATGCAGTTCAGGTTGGCCTTGAGCTCACTTTGTAGCCCAGGCTAGTCTGGAACTCGCAACGATCCTCCCACCTCAGCCTCCCAAATGCTGGGATTACAGGCATGCGCCACCAGGCCCGGCTTCTCATTGTGGTTTTAATTTGATTCCCTAATGGCTAACAATGTTGGCCGTCTACTCATTTGGTTTTTTTTTTTTTTTTGGTCTTTTTTGAGACAGGATCTCGCTACGTAGTTCAGGCTGGCCTTGAGCTCACTTTGTAGCCCAGGCTGGTCTCGAACTCGCAACAGTTCTCCTGCCTCAGTCTCCCAAATGCTGAGATTACAGGCATGCACCACCACGCCCTGCCATCTACTCGTTTGTATATCTGCACATCTCTCTTTTTTTAGTGAGCTGTCTATTCATGTCTTTTGCCCACTTTCTAATTATATTGTGTGTTTTTGTGTGGCGGAGCTGTGGAGCATCCTGCTGTGGTGGGGCTGCTGGTCCTGGCACAGGTCTGTGGCCTGCACATCTGACACTGGCTCGACTTTCATGGGCCTTTCCCTCTGTAGGTGCTTCTGGCGTCTAAGAACACTGGCCTTGCCTGAGGTTTCAGAGATCTTCTGTATCTTGTAAAAGTTCTAGTTTTACATTTAATCCATGGTCCATTGGCGTAAGGGTTTAGATAGGGCTGTTTTCTTTGTTTTTGTCTCTGATTTATTTATTTATTTATTTATTTATTTATTTTTGGTTTTTCTCCGGTACTGGGAACCGAACTCACGACCTTGCGCTTGCCAGGCAGGCGCTTTTGCCGCTGAGCTAAATCCCCAGCCCTTGTTTTTGTCTCTGAATGTACAGTTGTTCAGCACTCTTTATTGAAAAGATTATTTTTCCTCTAAGGAAAAATAAGGAATTTTAGTTTTTACATAGCCACTGTGCTATTATCCTAACAAAATTGATAAGATTTCCTGTATGTTGGCTACTTCAAAAATTTCTTTTAATTGTTGGTTTGTTAGTATGGGAACACAAGCAAAGTCCACATACTGTATTTCCTTATGTCACATCTCTCATTTTGTAATAGCCCCGCAATTTTTGTTTGTTTTTTGAGACAGGGTCTGGGTTTTTGGGTTTTGTTTTTTTTTTTTGGTTTTTTGTTTGTTTGTTTCCGGTACCGAGAATTGAACTCACGACCTCACGCTTGCCAGGCAGGCGCTGTGCCACTGAGCTAAATCCCCAGCCCCCTGGACAGGCTCTTGTTAACTTGCTTAAACTGGCCTTGCACTTGTGATCCTCCTGCGTCAGCCTCCCGAGTGTTGGGATTACTGGGGTGTGCAAGTGTACCTGGCTTCCCCCTTTGTTTTAAGCCATTAATTTATTGTTTTGTAGATTTTTGCACCGCCTAGCATGGTTGCACATTCTGCTCCTCCATCCTGTGTTTCCTGAATACTGGTGGTTAATTCTGGAGATGTGGTTGGAGTCCAGTCCGCACTTGGCCGTGGGTCCTTGCTAGGTGGGACTGTGTGTTTCCTTGCACCCTTGGGAGGCCTGGATGTGGGACTGCCCTGTGTTGGCGGTGTGGATGCTGATTGTGAGCCGAGAGGGCTTCACTACCAAGTTTCTTCTCATCTCCACTGCTGATTCAGGCATCATGTCTACATCACTATCTGTGTTAAGGGCTACAAATTGTGACTTTTCATTCTTTGTTCTATCTATTAATGGGACTTCTGTAAACCAGAACTTTACCTTGTTGATTGTGTAGTTACCCTGAAATATTATAGATGAAAATAAGACCTTTTTTTTTTTCTTTTTGCTATACTAGGGATTAAACCCTGAGCTATATCACCAGCCCACTTAAAAAAAAATTTTTTTGAGGCAGGGTCTCACTGTGTAGCCAGGCTGGCCTTGAACTTGCATCAGTCCTCTCTCCTCAGCCTCCCAAGTGCTGGGCTTAGAGGCATGCATCCCCAACCCCACCTGGCAAAATGAGGCTTTGAAGGAAGTCATATTCGCAAACTCAGGGGTGGGAACAGTTTGCAGGGAGGCCTGGTGTGATGCACACAGGACCTTGAGAACAGCTGGCGACCTCTGCATGCTGCTTTGAGACCATTGAGCACGACCAGCTCTGGCCTTTGAGGAGGAGCCTACACCTGCCTCTTAGGGTCAGGGACCACGTGTATGCAACTCAGGATACCACTTTAAATGTTTGGGGGGAAATGTAGTACAGTAATCCCAGCACCTGGGAGACTGATGCAGGAGGATCTGTGGGAGTTTGAGGCCAACCAAGGCTGCATAATGAGTTCAAGGCCAGCCTGGATTACATAGTGAGACCAAGTCTCAAAAAAGAAAAGAAAAAATATTTTTGAGGAAATATTATAAAAACCCTTGAATCATTTGGGAGATGCAAAAACAAATTCCACACCTCTAAGATGTAGATAATGCTACTTCAAAGTTGCTATGATAAAACCCATCAGATAATGCTTGGAAGACGATAACTTAGGAGTATTTGTACTTCCTGTACCCCTCCCATGTTTATTCATTTAATTTGGGAAAACAGACAAAATGATGATATACAACCCAAATCTTTTTAAAGAAATATTTCTGGCACTGGTTCTCAACTTTGCAGCCATGCTTGCAAGAGCTATTCTTAGGCTTGTCACTGTGTCTTTTTCAGAGCTTGCCTCCAGTCTTTATATAGACACCTTTGAGTTGCTTAATATAGACATCGTCTACATTTTTGAGTTTTTAATCTAGCTCCATATCTTCCTCAGTGAGGTAGGGCTCACATATGCACAGGAAAATGGAAATGTAAGGGGCTCCCCCTGGGTGGCAACTCAGAGTGGGGAGCAGATAGGACAGAGGATGTTGGGACACTGGAGAGGGGCTGACACAGAGCCAGGAACTGTGGGTGGACAGTGGGCAAGGGTGCTGTGGACTGCAGGGTCTGGCCAGGCCAGCTGGATAGGAAAAGCCCAGGAGAAGGGACCGTGAAGTCCTGTGGGCTGACTCAGGATTCGGGCCGAGGTGGTCACATGTGGGCTTAGCAGATATGGTCAGGCAGCAGAGACCCTGGGGACCCTGTGAACTTGTGCCAGCCAACCTCCAATGGCAGTGGCCGTGTTCTGCTCCCCCGTTTGTCCATTTCCTCTGCTGTCAGCTGTCCTTTGGCTGCTTTACAGGTCACTGCCAGAGGCTGGGCTTGGGCAGAGTCGTCTTCCAGGTTCTTGTCTGGGTGACGTTGACTGCTTGTCCATAGGTGGCAGCATTGAAAGAGACCAGGGTACAGGCTCTGATCCTCTGCAGTAGAGGGAATAGCTCCTGGCTTCCTCCTTTCCAGCTGCTGAAACAAAATGCCACACAGTTCTGGAGGGAAGTCCAAGGTCAGGGCATTGGCAGATTGCGTTCTGGTGAAGGCTGACTTCCGGTTCCTAGGCAGTGGTCTCCGTACTGTGTCCATGTGGACAGAAAGGTGAGGGGTATCTCTGGACCTTTTGTGAGGGCACTGATCCTGTCAGAGGGCTTCACCCTCATGACCTAATCACCTGCCAAAGGCCCTCCCTCTTATGTCATCACTTTGGCAATTTCAACGTGGGTTCAGCTGGGGGGATATTCCGGGTGGGCCTGATTTGTTCTTGGAAAGTGATTCCAACTGCCAGCTCAGCCTTGGTCCCTGAGAGCCAAGAGCTCTTCTGTGGGTCATATCTGGGTTTACATTGCTTTTTTCATTTCATTCATTCATTCATTCATTCATTTTGTGATACTGGGGCTAAGTCACTAAGTTCCCCAGGCTAGACTTAAACTTGCAGTTCTCCCCCGTCAGCCTCCTAGAGTGCTAGGATTACTTTGCAGTGTGAAGTTACTCATTTGTTCCTGGGAGTACTGAAGTCACCACGAGGAAAGTCCACCTGGGACCCCAGTGCCCTTTCTAGAGAGGCATTTCTTCCTTAGAGATTCTTCCCACACCCAGCATGCACTCAGCTTCACTTTCCCAGTGGAATTTTTCCTGATATCAATTTCCTCAGCTCTTTATGTTGTTACTTCTCTGTGAGGCTCCTCAAATTTCTTTTGCAATAAGGAGTGAAAATTAATAGGTAATAAGGCTGAGCATCATGAGTGGTCGGCGTTCTGGGGGTTCAGACAGAAATCAGGTCTTGTCTTAGAGGGGCAGGAGGGAAAGGCCGACCGTGTGCATGGGGAGCAGGAGGGAAGTGCTTAGGAGAGAGTGCGGGGCCGATAGCGGGAAGCAGGACTCCTAAGTCAGTGACAGGCGAGCCTGCCACCTGGGGCTGGGCCGTAGCTCAGTGGTGCAGTGCTTGCTTGCCTAGTGTCATCACCACCACCGAAAAAAGCAGTTTGAAGGTGCAGAAACTGGAGGGGAGCAAGTCTCCAACACAGCCCAGCTGGGTGGTGAGGAACGAGCATCAGCCATTCGAGAGACTGGAGGGGACTGGCAGAGACCAGTGCCAGTGTTTTCACAGAGATGGCCTTAGCGATAAAGGGATTGTGCTGTGTTGGGCATACAGAAGTGGCTATGTCCAGCCCGCATTTACTGAATAGCCGGTGCACTCCTCTGTTCCAAGTGCCGCGTCAGTAGTCAGGGGGACAGGCCTCTGCCTGGGGAATCTACATTGTCCGTGGGAGTATGGGTGTGAATAGGTGTGTGGCGTGGACCTCATCAGTGCTCTGGAGAAGAAAACAGGGTCATCATGAATGTTGCGCATACGTGTGGGATATGTCACGTTTGAACAGGTGGTCAAGATAGAGACCTAAGCCGGGGGAGGGTGGTGGTGCACACCTTTAATACCAGCACTGGGGAGGCTGAGGCAGGAGGATTGCTGTGAGTTCAAGGCCAGCCTGGGCTACATAGTTAGTTCAGGGCCAGCCTGAACTATACGGCAAGACCCTGTGCCTCCGCCCCCCAAAAAAAGACCTAGAAGTGTGCAGTGAGCTGTGTGGCTATGCAGGGAGGAGGGCAGTGTGGCAGAGCAGGGCAGTGAGTTCAAGGAGCAGCAAAGGAGCCACTGTGGCTGGAACTGCAGGAGTGAGATCAGAGAGGCGGGCAGGGCCTAAGGGACACTTAGGGGCTGGCATGATGTGTCAGCATATTCCAGTGGAGCTGGGAGCTGTCAAGCATTTGGCAGAGGAGGCCAAATGTGGTCTGCCGAGATCTTGGAAATCACGAGACAGCTGCCGTGTGGGGCCTTGGATGGCAGAGAGGTCTGCATTGGTCGGTGAATGTCGAAACCTGCAGGATTCTTTCCTGCACGCACTCACCTGGGGTTCCTTCTCTCTAGGCTCACCTGTCCTGTACTCCAAGGGGTCCCCTCCGGGAGCCTCCTGCTGCCGGCCACCATGACCGTGAAGGGGGCCGCGCTGGCCCCAGATCCAGCGTCACCCACCACTGCAGCAGCTTCACCCAGCGTCTCCGTGACCCCCGAGGGCAGCCCCATGGCCATGGAGCAGCCTGTGTTCCTGATGACCACCGCGGCTCAGGCCATCTCTGGCTTCTTTGTGTGGACAGCCCTGCTCATCACCTGCCACCAGGTACTCCGCTCCACAGGGCCCTAAAGGATCCCGAGACTTAGGCTAGGCCACCCCAGGTGCAGTCAATTGCAACCTCAGGTTCTCGGAGGCCTCACCCAATGGACCTGATTTCTGGCTCACCTCCCAGCTCCGCTGAGAGCAGGTCAGGCTTGGGCCTGTGGCTGTAGCTTCCTGCAGCTTCAAGGCTTCCTCCATCTGACAGCGAGGGGATGGGAGTGTGGAGAAGGCATCCTGGAGACCTGACCTTCTCGATCTGGAAATCATGCTGTCACTTGTGCTCGAGCCATTGGCCAGAACTCTTCTCGGATCTAGGACCTGTTTGTAGCCGAGGAGTTTGAGAGCTTGAGAAGGCCCGGGAGGCAGCTGAGTAGGGCACATGTCAGTAGGTGGCAGAGCTGGGAAGGAAGTCAGGTCTCCCATGTCCTGCACTTGAGGCCCCAGAGGAGGCTGGTGTGGCCTGAGAGGAGGTCTGATGGCTGCCCTGTGTAGAGGGCAGGGTGTGTCTGCCAGGGCCCTGTCTCTGTCCCTTTTAGGCCCACTTGCATCCAAGGCCTTGGCTCAGCACAAGGAGGGTGTTTGTTCTTTTCCTCCCTGGCCAGGGCTCACTGGGCCAAGCATGACATCGTGAGAGCCAGGACAGACACACGCAGTCTACTGGGGCGGCTGCTGGGGCTGGAGTGGCTCCTGGCAGCTGCAGGGAACTTTTACTTCCCCTTCTTTCTCCAAGTTGAGTTGCACTTTCCTCTTCCTAGGAAGGCCTCTGGTGCAGCCTCAGGCAGGAACAGACATAAAGTACTGTAAGCTGCCTCTGCGGCCAAGCCCCACAAAGTGAGGCTGCTGTGTCCTGCCTGCTTGACCAACAGTGAAGGCCCAGGCCAGAGTAGGCCACGGCCAGATGGCCTCAGCCTGGAGCCCTCAGCCTGGTGCTACTGCTGTGAGACCCCAGGGGTCAGGCTTTCAGGGAGGACAGATGGGAATGGGGCACACCTCGTTTTATCATCCATATTGTACAGAGGACTCTGAGGTTGGGATCATGACTTGCATGAAGCCATAGGAGTAAGGGGCAGAGCCAGAAGTGAAGCCATGAAGCAGGAGAAAGAGGGCTTTGGACTGGGTGGAAGGCAGAAAGCATGACATGTGACCGCCCTCTCCCCAGATCTACATGCACCTGCGCTGCTACAGCTGCCCCAACGAGCAGCGCTACATCGTGCGCATCCTCTTCATCGTGCCCATCTATGCCTTCGACTCCTGGCTCAGCCTCCTCTTCTTTACCAACGACCAGTACTATGTGTACTTCGGCACTGTCCGTGACTGCTACGAGGGTGAGAATGGGTATGGGTTAGGGCTGGGGCTCACAGGAGGGCCAGCCAGGCAGCATGCCGGATGGCTGGGGTGAAGGTATGCATATCACCTTGTGGCCTGGGGCTGGGGCCACATGCCCCCTCATGGCTTCCTCACTGAAGGGCCTCAACACCTCATGGGGAGGGGCTGGGGATTTAGCTCAGCAGCACAGCACCTGCCTGGCAAGTGCAAGGTTGTGAGTTCGATTCCCGGTACTGGAGGAAAAAAAAAAAAAAAACAAAGAAGACCTCATGGGGACTGACCTTGACCACCCCACACTTCCTTACCCACCTCAGGGTCTCCATCCATTGCAGATTTGAGTGCCTAAGTCTCCCTTCACAGACACGCTCTGCCGTGGGGCCCCCAGAACATTTTTGAAGATTCCTAGAGATGGGGACCCCTCCTGGAGCTCAGTGCTGAGTCTTGGCATACAAGCAACCCATCTGTGGATAGAAACCCCAGGTAACCGGGTACCTGTGGGTAGGGATTTATCCAGCCATGTGTGACAAGTTCCTGCCATCCGTCCGAGTCTTAACTCAGAGGGCTTTGTCCTGTGAGGTATTCTACCAGGCCTTGGAAAAAGGGACATGCTTCCTCCTGTGGGCCTTGGCCTATCTGTGGAGAAGAGATCAATAGCATGGCCCCTTCCCTGCCCATCAGCCACGGGCGGCGCTGCATTGCACAGAGGGAGAGATGGTCTTTCAGCCAGGCATGTGCTGGTATGCTCCTGTAATCCCAGCACTCTAGTAGGCTGAGGCAGGAGGATTATAAATTCAATCCCAGCCTAGGCAATTTAGTGACTTGGTAAGACTTCATCTCAAAAATAAAAACCAAAGAAATAAATAGGGTTGGGGGTGTAGCTCAGTGCAAAGGTCCTGGGTTCCATCCTTAGTACTGCAAAGCCAGGGGGACCCTCACTCCATGCCCCAGAGGTGGCAGTAGATGGCCGGCAGGCACCCCCACTCTAGCAGCCTTTTTGTTCCACCTGCCCAGACCTGCCTCCCAGCCTCCCAGCTCAGCAGAGGTCCCACAGGAAGTCTGCCGCCCTCTGAAGTCCGTCTCCTAGCAACACCATTGTCCAGCTGGGCCCCTCTGGAGAGTTTACAAACAGCGCACAGCTGCCCTGAAATTCACGCTGCCCTCCTGCTCCCCAGCCTCTGGTGTCTGAGTCAGTTGGCCTGGCCCTCACCAGCCCCATCCTGCCATCTGGGTGGCCCTGGAAGCACTGCTGAGCTCTGGGGAGGGTGGACGCTGGTTAGCAGGGCAGGGACTTGGATTCAGGAATCCCTCCTTCCCCACTGAGGGCCTGCTTGGGCAGGCCTGGGCATCCCTGGCCCATGTATTGGTCCTCAGAGGGCTTTTCCCTCTTCACCCAACTTCCACAGGTAGTTTAATCTGCAATTTCCAATGCTGTTACATTTTTTGTACATCAGGAGTAAAAGAAAAATCTAAAACCATATGGCCAGACTTCAGGAACTACTTGGCTTGCTTTTTAGCTTGCTCAGTTTCCCATGTGCTATTTTTCATTTATGCCTGAAGGCTTCCATTGATTTTTTTTTTTTTGAGACAAGGTCTCACTCTGTAGTTCAGGCTGACCTTGAACTCACTTTGTGGCCCAGGTTGGCCTCAAACTCAAAGGAATCCTCCTGCTTCAGCCTCCCAAGTACTGGGATTACAGCCATGCATCACGTTCAGATTCCATTGAATTTTTAACAACAGTCTGTGCTGAGAGGCAGCGTAGGGTCAGACGGATGTTGGCGCTGGCTCGTTCCCGTGGCTGTATCTGGCTGTATTTCTCCTGGAGCCTTTCTACTCCACTCTGGCCTACTGGCATCCAAGTCCCTTCACTGCTCAGCTGTCACCCAGCTTTGTCATTTGCCATCATCCTGGGATGTGTTTGCTTCTCCTGTGCTGTGTCACCCGGTCCCTCGATGACACTTCACCCCTGCTCTCTGGCTGGAGCACATCCTCCAGGAGCTTTTTGAGAAAGCAAGAGGGTGCCTAGAGGCTGTTCTTGAAATCTGGCAGAGTCTTCATTATGTTGTTCTATTTGATGGCTGTTCCCTGGTGTTTTTAGAAAGTCTGCTGGATTCTGATCCTTTGTGCCTCTAATGTGACTTTCTTGCTTCTTTTTTTTCCCTTTAGCATCTTGTTTTCTTCACCAGTGTTCCAAAATCTCACAGGAGGTATAATAGGTGTAGTCGGTGTGGTGGGCTAACTGGTGGGCTGAGCCTCCCCTATACCTCAGAGCTGGTTGGCAGGCCCAGTGTCTGGGGTGCTTGTTGGCTCCTCCCTCTCCCAGGTCAGTGACCTCAACGTATCATCTAGAACTTTCATTGATGTTTCTTATCAGTTGCCCCCATTTCCACTCTTCTCTTTTTTTTTTTTTTTTTTTTGGTACCGGGAATCGAACTCAGGACCTTGAGCTTTCGAGGCAGGCGCTTCTGCCACTGAGCTATATCCCAGGCTACTCTTCTGTCTTTGAAGTGCCCTCAATTTCAGTGGCATTTTAGGGAAGTAGGAATAAATGTATGTGTAGCCTATGAACCTCAAGTCAGTGGTAGAATTCCCATTCTCCACAGAGAGAGCCGAGGCTCACAGCAGTAAAATAACTTACCTGGAATCCTGTTCAGTGTGGCACCCACCTGGTAAGGGCTATGATTTCCATGGCACTGGGATGCACTGACAGCAGGACAAGATGCAGCTGCCTGCATGTATTTGGGGTTTAGGACCCTGAGGGGCTGTGGGTATGTCCATGATCAGAGGTGGGGATGCAGTCTCTTTTGTTAAGAAAGTTTATGTGGTGCTCAGTGGTGCCCCATTTTTTCCTCACCTGACCTTATTCTCCCCTCCCACTTACCCACTGGAGTATGCATTAGTGTCTGAAGTGTGCACATGTGAAACCAGGTTTCAGGTAGGCTGCACAACAATCAAGGTGATCAGAGAGCAGTGGCCAGGCTTAGTGAACAGGACAGGACCAGCTTCTCCCTTCAGGGCTGGGGCTTTTACGCACGTGAGAGGAACAGGTAGAAAGCGAGGATTCTTTCACTCCTTTATGGATGTCAGATTTTAGACAATGTGAGCCTGCTGGCATCTTCACAGGCAGGAAGAGTGCAGCAGAGTAGACACCACTGAGGGCTGCAGACACAGCCCACACATGGGCCCAGGGCCACTCTGCTGCCAGGAGGACATGCTGGCTCGTAGTGGCACCACTGGCCACAGCTCTGACACAGAGCTCAGTAGATCTGAGTACAGGAGGACATTCTGAAGAGCCAGTGGAAAGCGGTCAGAAACAGCATTTGGGGACACACATGGTCAGTAAAGGACAGAAAGCCACGGGGGAGGAGAGCTGCTGTTCGAACTTGGGACCTTGCACAGGGGCAGGTCCCCTGCCCACCATGTGGGTGGCACGTTGTACCTATTATTGCTCATGTGGATCACCAGCCATTGGAAAGAGGCAAAAGAGTGTTCAGTGCCCCTTTGTCCTGAGCAGATTTCAGCCCGTTGTCTCATCGTCGTCATCGTCATCATCACAGTGCATTTCCCAGGCCCATCCTCAGTTGTCTGGGACCTGGAACGCCCCCCACTCCAAGGTCAGCGGTGAGCGCTGAGGAGGCAAGCTTGCAGCGGCGATCAAGGTGGCACACAGTGTGCACACAGCAGGTGCCCACAAGTGTTTCTTGAACAAGTAGACAGATGTTTCTGTGTCCTGAGGCAAGGAGCTGCTGGAGAGACAGCCGGAGGCACTTGTTAGCGGGTCCTCCCCAAGGCCCTGGGCCCTGGCTTTGTGGTACGGTTGTTGGCTGGGGAGATTCTGGCCAGGAGGCTGGGTGATCAGGGGTCTCTTGGACTGCAGCTTCTGGTCCAGGCAGCTCCAGGCTAGAGAGGCTGCCAGTGAAGAAAGGAAGACTCAGGTCTCAGGATGTGAGGGACCCTGCCCTCCTGTCTGCTGAGGGGTACCTGCCTCTCACAGGCTCCCACTGGTAGAGCCCTTACCCTTCCTTCTCTGAGGACTCCTCTGCCCATTCTGGTGTCTGCCTGGGACCCTGGGGTTCTTTTTTTTTTTTTTTTTTTTTGGTACCGGGAATTGAACTCATGACCTCATGCTTACCAGGCAGGCACTGTGCCACTGAGATATATCCCTGGTCCCTTTTTTGCCTTTTTGAGGCAGAGTCTTCCTGTGAGTTCAGGCTGGCCTTGAGCTCACTTTGTAGCCCAGGCTGGTCTCGAACTCGCAAGGATCCTCCTACCTCAGCTGCCTGAGTGCTGGGATTACAGGTGTGTACCACCACACCCAGCCTGATTTTTTTTTTTTTTTTTTTTTTTGACCTTGGGTTCTGTCTGACCCTATAAACAAGGTGTCCATCACTTGTCTTCCTTCTTGGGCCTCAGGATTCTAGTCTAAGCTGGGCGTAATGTTGCGTGCCTATAATTCCAGCACTTGGGAAGCTGAGGCAAGAGGATTGTCCCGAGTTCATGGCCAGTCTGGGCTACATAGTAAGTTCAAGGCCAGCGTGAACTACAGAGTAAGACCCTGCATCTAAAACAAACAAAACCCCATAAGACTCCAAAGACTCGACTCGACTCTTCGGCTCATGTCTGCCCTGGTCTTTCTCCTTGGATTGCATGCATTGTCACTACCTTAAGATTTTTACCTAGAATGGAACAGAAAATTCCAGGTATCTGACTGTCTGGGACAGAGAGAGAGAGAGAGAGAGAGAGAGAGAGAGAGAGACCATCCCTTTCCTCTGGACTTGCAGTTCGCTTTGTCACTTATGCGTCCCAGGGGCCTGTACAGCCTATGGTGGGAACTTGAGGCGCAGGTCATTTTGCGTCTCTGGGGCCTCCTTAGGGACTCAAAACTTGAACCACAATCAGAAGGGTGCCAGGCAGGAGCTGGTCACATCTCAGCTACTCTGCTCTTGGAAGGGTTCAGGGCCACTGGGCCTTTGCATTGTTTCTATAATTGGGCAGAAATTCCCGTTATCAAACAACTGCTGGGCTGTGGGGGGTGGCAGTTTGTGTGATTCTGTAATTTCTTAGGAAGGGGCGGGATTGGTCCAGGTGGGCAGGGGGCCCAGCGTGGGCTGGTTGAGTCATGTCCAAGGGACTTTGTCTTGTCTCCTTTCTCGAAGAATCAGTGAATCTGTTACTGACTGATTAATGACTCTTTAAAGAAACTGTCAGCAAATTGGTATTTTATAGACTGGCTGGCCCCAGAGCACCTTTAAAAGATCAAGGATCTTAAAATAGAGAGATGGATGAAAAAAAAATTGGAGGAGGAGGGCTTTTCAGATGTCATAAAATGTCACTCCACTATAGTCACCCAGGCCTACCCAGATGTAAAGAGAAGGAACTTCTGAGGGGAGGAGGTATCACAGCACAAAGTGTGGCTGCTTCTAGAAAATATCGTCTGTCCCAACACAGCGGGACCCGGCACAGAATGGAGACATCCTCCCTTTGGCCTTGTGTGTCTTGGACAAGGTTGTCAGCAGGCTGACTGCAGACTTGGCCGGGTGCCTAACCCCGATGCTTGTCCATGAAGAGCGAGCTGGAGACAGTGGAGGGCCCTGTTGTCACCAGGCATCCTGGGCTGCCTCTCTACCGGCCAGCCAGTGCACAGGACCCTCAACCCTGTCACGGGTGTCCAGGCTGAGGAAGGCAGGTGGACAGCAGTAATGGCTGTGACAGCCAGGGCCCAGCCGTCAGAGCAGGTGGTCGTCTCATCCCTGCCAGGACGTGAGGAGACTGAGGGTCACAGGCTCACACAGCCCGGCTGGACACAGAGCCACTTGGCACACCCTCTGCTCAGTGTACATAAAAGAACCATCGCGGCAACACTGGACGTGTGCTCTGGGCTGTGGAGATGGGAGATCTTAATAGATTGCAGCAACTGGAAGTGGCACACAGTACCCCAAATATATTTCTTCCTAATTTGCTGAGGGCCAGCTTCTGCCTGAAAATACATCTGCAGGGTTCTGTGTGCCTGGGTTCAAATAGGTAGATGCTTATGCCCTGCCCAGGTGCCAGTTTTGGGTTCTGAGGAGGATAGGCTTCCATGCAGGGTCATGTACCCGAGAAGCCAGTCGGTCTTGCTTTGTTCTGTTTTACATTATTGACTTCCCCACATCACTACTCATGAATCGTTCTGATTATGTGTGATTCTTACTTCTCTGGAAAACACAGCACTGTGCTTTTTTCTTTTTTATCTTTTCCTAGTTTTGGTGGTGCTAGGGATGGAAGCCAGGGCCTTGAGCATGCTAGGCCCGTACTGTCCACTGAGCTGCACCCCCACCCCTGACATAGCCCCTTTAAACAACCCTGGCTTGCTGTGGAGAATGGCAGTCTATGTCACAGCAGGCAGCTTCCAGAGCTCTTGGTTCACAGCCCAGGGCCCCCCTCTGAGGTGACCCAAGGCAGTGGGTGAACATACCAGGGCAAGAAGTACTACAGAGCAGGTGGCTGCCAGTCCGGAGCCCTGTGCTGAGAGTGTGAACCCCCAGATCTGGAGCTGGGGTCACAGGTCTTGGGAGAGCAGGGACAGTGGCGCCATGCGAAAGCAGGACAGATGCAGAACCTGCTCAGAAGGTAAGAGGTTCCCTGGTATAAGAACATGAAAGAGTAAATAAAACCCAAAATGTACATTAGATAATAAGAAAGGGAAAGAAATTGCTCAAAGGAAGGAACAACTGGGATGAGGGAAAGAAGAAAAAGAAAATACTAAGGCATTTTATATATTATGGATTGGTGGCATAACTGTACTGTTGGTGTCTGATGGTTTGTTGAGGGGAACAGTTAATGTTTAAGAGGTTCTTTTAAAAAATATTTAGACCAATTTTGCATGCTTACATCTGGTAATCTGAGCAACTTATGTGACAACAACAATTTGCAGTATAACAACCATTGGTGAATTCCTACAATCCCGTCTAGTGAAACTATGTATTGTCTCTAATGTTCTTTTAAATTGTTATTTTCTTATTCCCTTTAATGATTTGATCAATCTTCTATTCTTACATCTGGTAATATGAGCAACTTTGTTGAAGATAACAATATGTAATATAACAACCACTGTTAATCCCTATTATTTGGTTTGAAACCCTGTATCATTTTTAATGTCCTTGCTTTGTTTTGTTTGTATTTTGCTATTCTTCTTTTTTTTGTACTATTTTCTTTAAAATAAAAATTGTTTAAAAAAAAGAAGGCAAGAGGCATCTGCTGCTGCAGGGAAGCAGCGTGGGATGCTGGCACATCTGTGCGCTTCTGGCCCCCTGCAGCTGGCCCAGCAGAAACCTCCGCCCTGCAGACCTGCCGGCCCTTTGCTGAATCATTGCCTCGGTGTTCACAGCATACTTCTGCTGTGCCATCACTGCTGCGGTAAATTTTGGGTCTTTGTGATGTTGAGCTGCGTCCTGATTCAGTGAGCTGACTGAGCCCCCCAAGACATTTTCACCAGATTCTGTGCATCCTTCTGTTTTGTTAGAGCTCATGGTGCTCTCTGTATGCTAAATTCCACTGCCAGTTGTGTGAAAGTTCTGTGCTCAGTCTTAATGCTTAGAATTTCTCTTGAGATCTCAGCATCGTTACCTTGGTGTAAAACTGATCTATAATGTACAAGGGGAGTAAAATTAATAAATACTTATCAAGCCAATATCATTTCACCCCAGAACTATACGCTGCCAGCCTTGCCAACACCCCCTGCCCCCAAATCTGTGGTGTCACTTCCCGGCCTTTTTTGTGTATCACTGCCATGTGGGTCTGCCTGCTCTGTGATTGAGCTGCACTTGAGTTTGAACTTACAAATGGGACGTTGACTTCTTTTGCACAACCTGATCTCTGAAGTTCCTCCATGTTGCTGCTCGTGGCTGTGGCTGTTTAAGATTCCGCCTGCCATTTGGCCATGCTTGTGGTCTGAGTCTTGTCTTTGGGCCTCTCCGCAGCCTTGGTCATCTACAATTTCCTGAGCCTGTGTTATGAGTACCTTGGGGGGGAGAGCGCCATCATGTCGGAGATCAGAGGGAAGCCCATCGAGTGAGTATCGTGTCTCCCTGGGGCCCCATGTGACCTCATGCTCTTCATTCTGCCCTTGTGTCAGCTGGACCCACAGATTCTGTGCCCACAGCCTTGACCAGCTGTGTCTGTCCCACACTTCTGGAGCAAGGCCTTTTATATGGACTCCTGGGAGGTCTCTGGCGTGCGCCCTCTGTCTTCCCCATCACCCTTGTCCTTTGCTGTAATGCATTTCTCCCTTGCTGGTTTTACACTCAGTGTGTTCTGAGTTGGTTTGTTACCACGTGGTCCCAGGCAGCCTTATTCCCTCCTGTCCTGCTGCTCACACAGACGCTCCGCAGTGCCTCCCTGGGCTTGGCCTGCACTTGCAGGCCACCCCAGCTCTGTGCTGTGAGTGAGGAGGGCGCCTTCCCAGCCTGCCTTTCCCAAGCCCTGGTGCTGAGCTCACCAGCCCGTCCCCTGCACGTGGCTCTTCCAGGTCCAGCTGCATGTACGGGACATGCTGTCTTTGGGGAAAGACCTACTCCATTGGATTTCTGCGGTTCTGCAAGCAGGTAAGTGTCACCGCCGCCACCTGGCTTGGTGAGCAGGCTGGGGAACAGAATCCACACCTGGGGGTGGGGGATGGGCATGTTGCAGGCAGGCTGCCCTGGGTGCATCTGTGGAGTTCCTTCAGGCCTCCAGCTCCCGTCCCCCAGCTGCTAGGGTGGCAAGTGCATGCTCAGATGGGCAATGAGCAGCATCCTGGGAATGTGTGCTACAACTTGGGGCAGGAGGAGATGGTCCCAGTCTTGCTCCTTTGACCGCATCTCTGTGTGTGACTGAACCAGAGATTGTAGAATCCTGATTTGAGATGTTACTGGCTGTGACTAGGGATGGGGGCTTCGGCACTAAAGACCCAGGCCTGCATTGTCTCTGCTTTCTTTCCACATTCCCAGGTGGCGGTCCCGAGGCTTCTATTTCCCTCGGCCTCCCTCTTGGGGTGCACAGTGGCTGGCTCGACGCAGTATACTGGTGTCTCACATTAAGTGCCTGGGCCAGGGCATCTGACCAGCCAAGTTTGACCTTAGCTTCTCTCCTGACTGAGTGACCTCAGATAATTTATTTAACCTCTCTGAGTATAGTTTTGTTTTTGGTTTGGTACTGGGAAGCAAACTCAGGACCTCGTACTCGCCAGGCAGGCACTGTGCCACTGAGCTCTGTCCCCGGCCTCTGAGTATAGTTTGCTGTTCTGTAAAGTGTGTAATGATATTACCTGAAGGAGTGGTTGTAAGGCACAGATGAGGCCAGGGAGGTGAAGCCTTTAATATGAGTGCGGGCTCCCGCCAGAGGGAGTCTAAGGGTGTGCCACCGTCTTGGTGGCCTGGCATTGGTGTCCATGGGGCCTCTGTCAGCTCCTCCAGCATCAAGTAATCAGGAGGGAAATAAAGCCTGTAGCTGAGTCTTGGTGGCCGCTGGAGGGCTGGCCCATGGCCACACACCTTCAGGGCCTCCTGGCCAAGTGGCCTGAGACTCATTCTGGGGCTGCAGCAAGGGAGTTAAAACTGTCCCAGGTGCAGGGCGAGGCATCGAGAGCCATTGTTTACAAGGGGTTCTGCCCCTTGCCCAGGTTCGAGGCCCAGCTGTGACTCACTGCGTCGTGGCCTCATTGGATGACTAGATTGTCCACAGAGTTTTGATCTCATGGTCACAGTGAACGTCACTGAGTTGTAAGCGATTCCCCGGCCCTGTGGGCTTGGATGCTGGCGGTGGCAGGAGAGATGGTGGAAGGAAAGAACTTACGAGGGCTCTCGTCCCTTTCCTGTGGTGAGGGAGCACTCACAGCTTCATCGGAGCCCCAGAGGGGCTGAGCACTCTCAGGTTCCCAGAGCACTTGTTAAGAGGAGATTCCCAGGCTGCCGTCCCACCCAGCTTGGTGGAGAAGGTCTGGAACGGCCGGAATGGCATGCATTTGAGGCTCCCAGGTGACGCCAACATCCAGCCTGGCCTAGAAACCATGGGTTGATGCAGGATATAGTTGGCAATGGCTCTGGGGCTTGGTAGCTTGGGTTCCAGTGTTGCATTTGCCACTTGGGCTGCTCAGTGCCTCAGTTTCCTTGTTCGTGACAGGGATAGCAACAGTACTTATATCACAGCAGGCAGCTGGCTGGCTCCCCCATGCACTCTGAGTGACCTGTTGCTGCTCCCCTGTCTCCCACAGGGAGTCAGTCCTCTTCCTCCTGACAGGGTTTGGGGCTAGGGGACTTCTGTGAGGTTTTCTGTTCATGTGTGCCTCTCGCAGGGCAGCTCTCTGCGACGGGAGCAGCTGGAAGCCTGGGAGCCTCCCTGCCTGGCCCCGCTCCTGGTCATGGGGGCCTCATGTGCAGGTGGACTTGCTTCATGGGGTGTGTGGTCCTGGGGCACATGGATGCCCCAAGAGTTCGTGGGGCCTCTGCAGGGATTGTGGGAGCCTGGCCGAGAACATCTGTTGGCTGAGTGGGTTCGCACAGCCTGCATTGAGAGCAGACCCCCAGAAGAACACTGCTCCATGGTACTCCTGTCCCTACAGCAGCGACCCTGTGCTGAGGGGCTGGTTGTGTCCCTTTTGTTAGGGAGGCTGCCACTCAGGCCAGGCAACTGCCCAAGGTGCTGCAGCGAGTAGTCAGCCAGTCCTTCATCCAGTCTCAGCTCTGGGGACTTAAGAGCCCATGCCTGGGCTGTGTCCTGTGTCCTGTCCCTCGCTGCTCCTATAGGCCCTCTCCAGTGCGGGTCAGAAGCCCTGGGCTGGGCCTGGGGCACAGGGCACAGGGCACGGGGCAGGGAACGATGGGGATGGGCCAGGAGGGCAGGAGGAGCCCTCAGCCTCCTGCTGTCCTTGTACCTAGTCTTCAGCAGGGCCCGACCTACCCAGAGTGATGAGGCCCCCAGCTCCCACCTGCCTGTCTTCCCAGCCACTAGCTCTGCTGTTCCTGCCCCGTGCCCAGCCTGTGCTTGTCCCCACTCTGCCTCGGGCCTTTGCCTGAGCTGCATCCTCTGCATGGAAGGGGGAGTGGCCCTTCTCATCTCTCTGTGGCTTCCTGTAGTCCTTCCCGCTCCGAGCCTTCTCTGATGGTGTCTCCTGCCTCCTGCCCCTGTGTCCTGCTGCGCAGGTCCCTCCTGCCCTGTGTCCTGGCTCTTCCCATCCTCGTACAGCTACACTGTCTCCCACGTTTCTCCTCCCCCGCCTGCAGAGGTCCCCTCAGGGATGCATCACAGAGCCTTCCCCTCTGTCCCCACGAACGTCCTAGGCCCAGCCCCTAGAGGAGGTGCTTTTTCATGCTCGAGCTGACCTTCCCCTCTCTCTCCCAGGCCACCTTGCAGTTCTGTGTGGTGAAGCCACTCATGGCCGTCAGCACCGTGGTCCTCCAGGCCTTCGGCAAGTACCGGGATGGAGACTTTGAGTAAGCAGCAGGTCTTCCCTCGGGCACATGGGAGGAATGTTGGCGCCCCAGCAGTGCCCTGGCTCAGGGCTGGGGGCAGCCAGACAGGCCCCATGGCCCTGCGCTTGCTGGCCATCATGGTGCTTACATCTCCCTGTACCTCCAGCCGGAGCCCAGCAGTGGTCACCCTTGCAGTTGACCCTGGTGCCACCCCAGGAGCCAGCCCTGGCCTGTAGTTGTGTTCAGGCTCCCATCCAAGCACACAGTGCTGTGGGGTGGGGCCACGAAGGGGCAGGGCCACTCCCAAGGCGGAGGAGGCCGCGTCAGCCCCGCACGCAGAGTCCGCGCTGTAAACTGCCCACGTGCATTTCATCTGGGTTCCTGACAGCGGCTGCATGCTGCACTTGTGCTTGCACGCACCTCGTGCCACCGCCTGTGCCCCGCCTGCCCAGGCAGGTGAGCAGGGGGAGGCTGGGGGAGGTAACTTGGCCCCATGAAAGGGCAGCAGAGCAAGCTTGGTGTCGCCCACTTTGACACTTGTCGTTTGGCCATCAGGCTGTGGCCTCTAGCACAGTCTCTGAGTCGGACATGGTGTGAGGGCAGCAGAAGTCGAGGGCTGGCAGTGCCCTCTGTCGTCCACCGCACCCTGCAGCGCTCAGTGCAGAGCTGGGAGGACTGGCTGTGGTCAGCGCAGAGGGGGCCGGGCCCTGCCCCTTAGCAGGCTTGGTCCCAGCCAGTGTGTGCCCGTCCTGCAGTGTCACCAGCGGCTACCTCTACGTGACCATCATCTACAACATCTCTGTCAGCCTGGCCCTCTATGCCCTCTTCCTCTTCTACTTCGCTACCCGGGAGCTGCTCAGCCCCTATAGCCCCGTCCTCAAGTTCTTCATGGTCAAGTCCGTCATCTTTCTCTCCTTCTGGCAAGGTCAGCCTCCTCCCAGCCTCCCAATGCCTGCATCCCCATCTTCTGAGCCTCTCTCTCCCTCCTGTTCATGTCTGTGGAGCCCAGGTATCAGGCTATGCCAGGGGGCCGAGCCTGGGTCTCAGAGGGGCGTCAGCCCACCATGCACTTTGTGGGGGTGAGGTATGGAGCCTCCCACAGCCCCTTTGAGGAAACTTTAGGGATCCCATTTTCTGGGTGGGGGCAACCTGGGAGCTCTGCGTAATCGGTGATGTCCTGGTTTTGGTGGCTGACAGGGAGCTGGGATAGTGGAGTTTCTGGAGGCCTTGGCTTTGTGTCACTGTCCCTGTTAGAGGAACAACTGTGACCTCTTCCAACCTCCCTGGGGTGCATGGGCATCAGGTGGGGCTGCAGGAAGAGGGAAGCCTGGGAGTGTTCCAGTCAGGGCTAGACGGTGCCTTCCTGCCCAGGCATGCTGCTGGCCATCCTGGAGAAGTGCGGGGCCATCCCCAAGATCCACTCGGCCCGCGTCTCGGTGGGCGAGGGCACCGTGGCTGCTGGCTACCAGGACTTCATCATCTGTGTGGAGATGTTCTTCGCGGCCCTGGCCCTGCGGCATGCCTTCACCTACAAAGTCTATGCAGACAAGAGGCTGGACGCACAAGGTGTGAGTGGGTCCTGAGGACAGGGAAGGAGTGGGGAATTCCAGAGCATTTCCCTGGGAGAGGTGCCACAGAGGGAGGGCCCGGGCCCCGCCGCCAACACTAGGGAGTTAGAAGCCACCAGGCTCCTGCAGTTGGCCTGAGCGTGGAGAGCCAGAGATGATGGAGAAAGTTAGGACAGAGACTAACAAATAGACAAGTTTGAGGGCTCCTAACACTGTGTACAGTTACTTGTTTGTCCTGTAATTCTATCCTTCTGAAATCCTTTAAAAAACAAAACAAATGCCTGGTAAGAAACAGAGTAGGTGGTAATAGCTTGTAACAGCTTTTTGATGCCTGCCAGTCATCCTGTTTGGAATGGGGTTAGCAGGCCTGGCTGTACAGGAGAGTGGCCTGGAGTACTTCTAGGAGTGCTGAGGGCCACTGTCAGAGACCTGCTGCACTTGGCCTGGTGGCAGCGTGTGCTTAAGCGCTCTGGGGAGACCAGGTGCCTGGAGAAGCAGTGTGCCAGGCGGGCAGAGAAGGCTCAATCCAGGCGATCTAAGAGGAAGAGCAGAGGCTGAGGAGAGGGAAGCCTGTCCATGGTGTCCGCCCAGGGTCAGTTTTCTTCCTGAGACAAGAAACGCATTTCCCTGGGCCCCACTGCAGGCCCATGTGTATAGCGTGAAGGGGAATGGGGCACCTTGGCCCACTGCCTCTGCTCCTGCCCTGTTGCATAGAGACCTTAAAATGCCTCTGCTGGGCTCTGTCCCCCAGCACACCTGCCAGCGGTCACGACGTCAGGCTCTGATTGCACACCTGCTCTGTGCCCAGCCCCTGTCTATTGGTATGGTGGCTGCTGCCCCGTTTGCCTCTGGCCATGCCCTTGTGGGAAGGATCTGACACACATTCACCTGAAGGCCATATCCCTTGGACTTGGTTGGCAGAGCCTGTGCCCATGGAAAAATTACCCTTGGGCCTGGGGCCTGGGGCAACCTCAAGGGGCAGGGAGAGAACCTATCCACACCTTAGGGGCTCTGCTGAGGCTGCCTGCTGGTGCCTGGGCCATCTTTCCACATGGTCCCCTAGACCCACCTACCCAAGCAAGAAATACCCCAGCTGGCAGTGCAGCCTGGCCAGGCGAGCTGCTGCCCCTGCCCGTGCCTGTCTCCCCTGGTCCTGGGCTGGAGCCCCAACTCCAACTGAGGCTTGCATTAGGCTTGACATTAGGCTGGGGTGCAGCACCAGCTCTGCTGTGTGTGTGTCTCTTCTCTGTCTCTCACACACACACCCTGCCCTCCATGCCCTCATCTGGGAGGTGTCTCGAGGTCTGTGACGCATGTGGCTATGTGCAGGCAGATGGGTCCCAACCAAGCCTGGGACACTTCATGGTGGGGCATCCTGGCCCAGGTGTGATGGCGGCACTCCTGCTAGTCAGGATGGCCCCTGTTGAGTACCTGGGAGGAGTCATGCCAAGGCAGATGTCTTCTTGAGCCCTGGGGACTGGGAGGGGTGGTGTCCCGGGGCCTAGGGGTGGGCTGCCGTTCACTCAGCTGTCTCTTGTCTTCTTTATCTCTCCGGCTTCTCTCCCCGCCCCCTTGCCTTGCACTTGCCCCGGGTTTGGCCGTGGGCAGTGCCGACGTATGGCCCTTACGGTAGGTCTTGCTCTCTGTCTGCACGTCTGTCCTGCACGTCTGTTCTGGTCCCTTGTCACCGGCATGCCTCTCTGTAGCCCCTCTGTGTTCCATCCCATCCTCAGGGGCACTGGGCTGGGGGAGCCCCTTTCTGCCTGCTCCTGTCCTGGCCTCTGGCTGTTCTGGGTTACACCCTGCTCAGTTCTGGGACCCAAGGCAGTTAAGGACTAGCTGGGACATTTAGCAGAGCACAGAGGGTGGAGAGACTCAGGTCTGGGTCAGAAGTCTGGGGTCTGTGGTTGGGCTTGGTGGCTGGGGGCCTGTCATTAGATATCTAGGAGGAAGCTTTCGGGACAGGGAGCTGCTGCTCTCTCCATGGGGGAGCCAGTGGGCCAGCCCAGTGCTGGGGGCCGCTGTGAAGCGGTGCCTGCCCATGGAGGCACACCACTCTGTGTGTGGGGGCATGGGTCTGGCACTGGAGTGGGAGCGCGCGTGTGGGGCACATGGCCGGCAGCTTGCTGTTCTCCACCCAGGTCCCCTGCCGCCTGTCTGTCTAGCTGCAGGTGCTGGGCTCCCCGGCTGCTCTTCACTCCTGCTCCCAGCCAGCAGAGGGACCTACATCCTGCCCCTGCTCATGTCTGTCCCCAGCGGGGAGGGCTGAGTGACCCTCCCAGGGGTGGGTCTGGCCCAGGACATGTGGCCCTCCCTCACACCACCCACCTCCTGCCCTCAGGCCGCTGCGCCCCCATGAAGAGCATTTCCAGCAGCCTCAAGGAGACCATGAACCCGCACGACATCGTGCAGGACGCCATCCACAACTTCTCGCCCGCCTACCAGCAGTACACGCAGCAGTCCACCCTGGAGCCCGGGCCCACCTGGCGGGGTGGTGCCCACAGCCTGTCACGCTCCCACAGCCTCAGTGGCACCCGCGACACCGAGAAGACTCTCCTGCTCAGCTCTGACGACGAGTTCTAGGTGTGGGTGCCTTGGCCTGGGGCACTGTGCCCTCCTCCAGTCTCCCAGCCAGGCCAGGAGGCAGCTGGCACAGTTTGCTAGTGCCCTTTATTTATTGGACCAGAAACACATATCGCTTCCAGAGGAACAACCCAACCCTATGTGCCGGGGACAGCCCAGGCTCACTCACGAGCCTTCAGGAATATTTATACACGGCCAGCCCTGCACTGCCCGGGCTAGGGCAGAGGACTCTGGGAGCAGCTCCCATACCCCTGCTGCCCGGCCTGTGGTAGAGATACGGCACCCGGGGACCAGCCCTACCAGGACCAGCCATGTGCAGGCCCAGCGTGGGGACCAGCCTCGTCCGCAGCTTTCTAGGCCCTTCCCCACCAGGCCCTGCCCACCCCATACTGTGCAATACCCTGACCTGGGCTCTCCCTGCCCGCTCCCTCGCCCCACGCTAGAGCCTGGAGCCACTCACCCCAGGCCAGCAGGAGGAGGGAGTGTGGACGCCCAGCACACCCTCCCTCTCTGATCCAGGCCCACCTGGCATGCTGCAAGGATCAGAGCCAGACAGCAGGAGGCACGGGCCCCCCTAGGAAGGGGCTGCTGTGCCCCTGGCCCCTCTCTGGTGAAGCAGGGCCCCTTGATCCCTGGCTGTCTTTATCCTCTGTGGTCGCCCTCTGCCCCCTTCCTCCTGGCCTGCTGAGGATAGCTGCGCTGCCCTACTTGGGTCCCACTCCTGATGCAGTTGTGGGCAGAGCCCTTGCTTCCTGGCTGGGGCTTCTCTGCCCCCTTCAGGGGTTAGGTCTGAGCCTCCACATTTCAGACCAGTGTTTGGGAAGGACAGGAGGGATGGCCATGCAGCAGGGGCCCCGAGGTGGGAGGAGTGGCCCCAGACCCCCTCCCAGCCCCTGACCCACACAGGGCCTGCTGTTCTGCCTTGTCTGGCCCCCTGCCCATCTCTTCTGTGCCTTAGTCACATACGAAAGTCCCTCCCAGCCCCCATCTGTCCAGACGCCCCCAGGGGGCTTCTTGGTAAGCTGCTGGCACTCAGGATCCTGCAGCGTTGGGCCAGGTGCCCATGGACAGACTGCAGCGGTGGCCAAGGCTGCCAGTTCCCTCTCCTCGCCCGCCTCATGCCCATGTTCCCAGGGCTGGAGGCCTAGGTGGGCCAGGCTTCTGCCAGCCACATCTTAGGAAGAGTGTTGGGAGTGGGGCGCTCATCAGGCGCCATGTCCTGCATTGGAAAGCCAGGGAGCGCTTGGGTTTGGGCTGCAGAGGTGGAGGGAGGAGGAAGGGTCCTCGCTTTGTGGCGTGTGCTGGAAGCTCACTCTTCTGGTCACTGCTGGAATGAACAGTCTCCTCCTGCCTACCGGCAGCCTTCCTGGCCTCATCCTCCCCTCGGGCCCAGGGGCCAGGCATGGGGTGCTGGCGGCCAGCTCTCCGTCCTGTCTGGGTGGGGCGGCCAGCTGGTCCCAGGCCACCCTGGAAGGCAGCTGGCAGGTGCAGACTGTTCCAGGAGCAGCTCTGCCTCCCTCCCACGTTGGCTTTTACAAATCTGTTTCTCTGACACATCTTCCTTCTCCTTCTAGGCCAAAGTGTGTTGCTGATTCCTGCCCCCATCCTGGCTGGTGCCCATGAGCATGGCGGGCGGGGTGGGGAGCTCGGTGGCAGGGAACAAGCGGTCCGCGGGGACTCGGGGATGGAAACCCAGGCCCGGCTGCTCCATCCCCTCTTTCCTAGGATGCATAACCTACATTGTCTGGGTTTGTTTGGGTTTTTGTTTTTTTTTAATTTTTCCAGGTAGAGTAGTTCTTTGTACATAAAAAAAAAATACTTGAAAAATTAATTGTATGATGTATGAGAAGACAGAGTCCCTTAGTTTTGTATCTCGTCGTATGATTGCCATGAGTTCCACCAGAAAGCCACTCTATTTTGGTCTCTGTGACATTTTAAATGCGTGACAAGTGAGCAAATAAAGTGAGGAAGAGATATATATATATGAGATAATATAGATTGTATTGAAATCTCTGCTGCCTGCGGTGAGGTTTCTTCCTGGCCCTGTGGGTTTGGGGAGGTGGGTGTAGTGGGATGGACAGGGGTGTCCCCCCTGTCCCCTGTGTGTGACAGGTAGGTGATAGGGTTTGCAGTGCCAGGAACTGAAGTTAGCATCTAGGTCCCCAGCTGAGTGCTCACAGGACTTACTCTCCTCACCCGAGGGGGCAGAGATCCAGGGGCCAATTGATTGGTCACCAGGTGGCTGAGCCCACACCTCTGAGGCTCTCTCTGAAGGCATCTTCCAGGGGGCAGAGGGATTCCCAGAGGTCCTAGAATCCAGGCTCCTGAGCCATCCTGGCACTGGAGAAGTCAGGAGCCTTGGCCACCTCGGACCCCCCACCTCTCAGGGGCCTGGCCCTCTGCTGACAGGAGCACACAGGAATGCAGGAATGCTGCGTGGGCGGGGGAGATTCCCAGCCAGCAGGGGGTGGGAGATAAACAGCTGACTTGTCCCTGGCTCCCTGCTGCCCATGCCTGTGCCGCGGGCCTGCACTCAGCATTTCGGGCTGCAGCTCTTGGCAGGGCCCCAACCTGAGAGGAAGGTGGGTGCACCTGGCCTGGCCATACGGTTTGGCCCTTTCCCACGCTTAAATCCCCCATCTTCCCCCAAGCCCGCCGCTCCCCGCCAGCCACACACAGTCCGCACCCTAGCCCTGATGCTGCTGCTGTTACAACCCCCTGCCCTCCAAGCCCCAGTGCTTCCCACGGCTGTGACCGCATAGCACCTTTGTCTCACTGCTGGGTAAACTGAGGCTTCAAGAAGCCAGGTGAGACAGCAGGCGTATCACTGTACCACCAGGAAAAGACACACAGCTGTACACAAGCCCTGATTCCGACTCTACCCTATTTCTTCTCAGGGTATGCCAGGAGGCCTGGTGGAGTGGGTGGATGTAAATTTGGGGCCAGGGTCAAGACCCAGGACTGTGTTCCAAGCCTACAGGCTGGGGTGGAGGAGGCCCCCTCGCTCCCTGCCTCGCAGAACATGGGAAAGTGTTTCCAGCTTGGTGTAGACAGACCTAGGTGTGAAAGTGCTGGGAAGGGTTCTCTAAAATTCAAGGTTCTTCCTCTGGGTGGGACTGAGTGCTCCCCACAGGGAGCCCAGGGAATTTACCCCGGCCTCAGGAGGCTAAATTTCCATACCGACTTCCCCTGCCCCATCCGCTCACCCTTTGCCTGTGTGCAAGAGCTAGTGATGGAGGGGGAGACCTCTCCACGGGCTCCCCAGCTGCTCGCCCAGAACACACAGCATGGCCCAGGACACACACTTCTCTGCAGAAAAGAGAACTTGACTTTATTCAGAAAGTCTACAAAATACAGAAGGCGGGTAACTCGCTCACTGTAAGTCAGAAAATAAATAAACTGGGGGCCCGGGCAATTTCTTAAAAAAATTTGTTGCCACCTGGCGTTCCCTAAATATAAGATAAAATGTGATTTATTTGTAGATACAAAATACAAAGCCCAGCCCAGGGCCACACGCCACTTTTCCCAGGGAGCAAGAGTTGGGCTCTGGCTGGGGAGAATAACTTAGATCTGTGCAATAAATAAAGGGCGGAGCTGTATACCGCACTAGGGGCGGGGCCAGGCTGGGCTTCCCCTGGCAGTGCCGCCCCCACCCCACAGGGGACACTCAAGGGTCACGCTGGGGCCCAGGGCCCCACACGCTTCGGAGCTGCAGGATCCGTCTCCTCACTTCTCTACCCCCACAATGGTCACCTCCACTGTCCCCTCCTCTGGCTGGCCAGCCCCTTTCTGCTCTGCCCTCTATGCCACCTTCTCTGTCCCTCTGCTTCTCTTCCCTCCCGTCAGACAGCTGTGCCGCTGGCTCGGAGGCCTCTCCCACCTTCATCAGTCCCTGTCCCTTGTCCCCGAGAACCCTCTGCTGGAACCCTGGGGTAGCACTGAAAACGCTGTTTTTGGAGTCCGCTGGGTCACGAAGGGATATGTGGCCTTGAACGCTGTCCCATCTGCTGTGGGGAGGGTGTCCCCATCTTAGCTGGGCCTCACTAGCTGTGACCCTCTGGGCTTTGGAAAGCGGGGCCGCACCAGGCCCAAAGCGAGGTGGGAGTCTCCGCAGGGCCTCTGCCCAGCAGGACTGCCCGTGTCACTCCACGGAGTGCTGGATGGCTGGGTGGGCGCACGTCGGCCCCATCAGAGCAGTTTCCCCAACTCTCCAGGAGGCGCGGCCTCCTCTCCCCGACCGGCTCCACCTCCAGTCCCTCCGGATCTAACAAGACTTTCAGCCGCGGGAAGCCCTGGCCCCAGATGCTTGCCAGCCTAGCAAAGGTGCCCCTCCCCAGGGCCCAGTTTGAGGGGCTGCGAGAGAAAGGCGGAGCCCAGGAAGGGAATGTGTGTTCGCCACAGGGGCCGGCAGGGAGGAGACCTAGGAACAGACAGGCGCTCAGGCACTTTGAGAAGGGAGGGGCCGGAGAGAGGTGGCTACGTGGGAAGTGGGCGGGGCGCAGCGGGCACTAAGTGC